GAGAAAAATTTAATATGCTACTCAGTGGGACTCAATTGAATATTTCTGAACAAGCCCTCATCTGATTGACCTTCATAGGCTTATGGGTCTATTCACTCTACAGAAATATAGTGCTATAATTCCTCCTCAACCACCATGACAACCTCCCATGGAGTTCTTGGACTTGTAACTTTGTGAGGGGAAGTGGGGTGGCAGAAAGGTATATCCCCCTTCTTAAATTATAAATCCCAAGATTCAGTAGAATAGAACCATAACTGTGAAACTGGAATCATAGTGCAATAACTGTGTAGTGTTTAACAGCCCCACATTGGAGCATGCCCCGTAGTAATGTTTTGGTGTTTTGATCTGTTGCTGAATGTACAAGAAATTATTTTTAATTTGCTAACTTCTTTAATTTAAAATAATAATACTATGTATGCTATTTGAAAGATTATCTTTTCTTCCATTAAGGACCTTCTAATTTCGTGTCTTCAATCCACGCTCAAACTGTTTAAAAAGAGATCCCTTAAAACTAGACTAAAGGGAAATTTTGAGTGACACTTCTTATGCTCATCTGCCTAATCAGAGGTAGCAGATGTGTCTAGATGCCTTTCATGTCATTCCATGGAAATTAAATCAGTAGGAAGATATAATTTGAAGTGAGCGGGGAGGGTCTGAAATTATAAGATATAGAGGTTGTGTATGTGTGTTGTTGTGTAGCCATCCCCTGCCATGCATTGCTGTGGCTCAGTCAGTGTATATGTGTTTTGTGTGTGTAAATATGTGTATATGTGTGTGTATATATTTGTGTATATGTGTATATATGTGGTTTTGTGCATGTTTTGTAATGTATTTTTTTTTTTACTTTTTAGTCTCTTCCACTGTGTTTTTCAGTGTTTTTATGAGTGATGGTCACTTGTTGGCCTGATAGGTGTATTATGTCCAAATCTGGTGTCAATTCATCCAGTGGTTTTTGAGTTTTATTAATATCACAAATGAACATTACATTTATATCTGTCTATATATCTATCTTTGGTGTGATGATGGTGGGGCTGATTAACTTAGTAAAACGGTCAAGCTTTAACATAATGTAGAGAATGATTATACTGAATATATTCAGTATCTTTCACATGAAGCTTCTGGGTTCTCATATATATCTGCACAGCAAAACTACTTTTTTCAGTACTAGTTTGAAACTGCATCAGGTGGTCAATGTAGATGAAGGCTAAGTCAATCAAGTCTGAGTAGGAACAGTCAATTGTATGGCACAGCAAGAAAGAAGACAAATAATATTGTGTGTGGAGTATTGTTGTGGTCATAGTGCAGTAGACTTTTGTGGCTTTGAGGGGATTTTAGTGGGATATATTTCATTGGATGTCTTTAAAATGTTCTTCAGTCTCCTAGATACAAATCTATCAACAACATCATCATCATCAACAACAACAACAACAACAACAACAACAACACTCGATTCGTATTCTGCCCTATCTCCCTGAGGGGACTCAGGGCGGATTCCAGCATATACAGAGATACAAGGCAAATACTCAATGCCTTAAAACAATGAAACACAGACAGAGAGATAAAGATAAAGGCTTCCCCTTCATCTCTGGCTCTGGGATGTGGTGCTCATTTCCATTTCCAAGCCAAAGAGCCTGCATTGTCTGTAGACGCTTCTAGTCATGTGACTAGCATGTGTGCCATTTGTTACAGTAATTCGTAGCAGGATCATGTGTGTGTGTTAAAGAAAAACCTTATGATGTTAATTATTAGGTGCAGCTGGTAATGTAGGTCAGCCAGCAAGTTTGAGCCACACCCTGTGGGGTATAACTGTATGGATTTTAGAATACAGTTTGGAGAAGTAATATGCTCCTCTAAGGAGAGAAGCAATATGCTGCTCTGAAAGAGATGCTGTAATGCTGCAATGCTCTAGCAGCGATGCTCTTTGCTATGGTGGAATAGCTATTTACTCAAGGTTTATGTTTTGCTCTCTCATTTGAATGAAGATGAAGAAGCCTTATTCTGTGTTACTTACAAGGACTATGTAAGTTTGTTGCACTGTTTGATTTTGTATGCAACACTGCAAGTTTATTACCTCTGCTGATAAGAGTAAAGTTTTTCTGTTCCTTTTTCCTCTTGCTTGTGTGTCTTTTGAAATTGGACCTGGCTAAAATCTACTTCTGCGCAACACCGTTTACCTTCCTACCAAGGTGGTACCTATTGATCTGCTCAACATTTGCATGTTTTTGAACTGCTAGGTTGGCAGGAGCTGGGGCTAACATCAGAGACTCACCCTGTCCTGCAGATTTGAACCTCTAACCTTTGGGTCAGCAAGTTCAGCAGCTCAATGGTTTAACCCATTGCACCACCCTAGCCACATCCATGACTTCTGGTGCCTTACTTACTTACTTACTTACTTACTTACTTAGGCGATCCCTCGTAGTCCGAGGATGATGGTCCTCCAAGTTCAGTGTCCTGGGGGTGGGTTCGTAGGTGGCTGTGGAGCCCTATTCTTGACCTGCATCTTCTCCCACAGTGAGGGCATTGGTTTCCAGGTGGAAGGCGGTCTCGGTCGGGGTTGGCTTGACGCGCCTTCCTCTTGGCACGTTTCTCTCTTTCACCCTCCATTCGTGCCTCTTCAAATTCTGCAGCACTGCTGGTCACAGCTGACCTCCAGCTGGAGCGCTCTGTGGACCATCCTCCAAAAAATTGGGTGCTAAAACAAATCTGTGGACATCCTGAGGCTCTTCCATGATGACATGATGGCAACAGTTTTGGACAACAATGGCTTCCAAAGTGGTGCATCTACACTGTTGAATGAATGTAGATTGGCACCAACTGTCATGACTCAATGCTATGGAATCCTGGGAATTGTAATTTGGTGAGGCACCAGCAAGCACTTTTTCTCATAGGACAAATTTCTCATCAAACTACCATTCCCATAATTCTGCATCATACCAAAACATCCATTTCTGCTACTGTACATATGTGCATATGTGAGAGAGGTAGAAGTAAGAGATAGAAGGAGGTAAAAGGGGAAATACCCTAAGAGTAGCAGAAATCCACTTTGTGTTTTATCTCCTCTGGGGAATATGCAGCATTGTAGGTAACAAGGTAAGATGTGCAGAGCTAAAAACCACCATTTATGTCACTGTAGGAGATTCAGAGAAAATGCATCCTATGGGAGACAGAACACTACAAAGGCATGCATATTTAAGGAAGGAAATACTCCGTGAAGGCAGCACATGGCATTCGGAGGGGAATGCATTCTCTGTTCAGTGCCCAACAGTTTCGCTCTGCATCAGCAAAAAGACTGGCTTCCGAATATTATTTACCCTGTCCTGGATTTCTCTGGATTCTGTCTTCTCAATTAAAATATAAATGGGTGGCTGTATTTGGATTCTTTGGGAATATATCGCTGGATTAGCATGCCTCTGATTTACTGGGCTGGAGTTTCCCTATAGCTGCTGCCTCTACAAATAGGCAGGACCTTACCGGCCGGCGGCTGTCAGTGGAAAGATGCTGGGAAGAAGGGAGCCTGCAGCTCTTGTTCCTTGGACCCAGCTGGCGGAGTGTGCTCAGTTAGCTCCAAAGGGCATTCAAAGGCTGGGAGGTGGAAGAAGACAGCATAGTGACAGGCCAGAAGAAACGAAGGCAGAGAGAGAGCTTGGGAACAAGTTGGGACAAAGAGAGAGAGAGAGAGATTGCAATGGCAGAAACCCTTGATCCTTATGGCCCCTAGCCATGCCGACTGTGGAATTCTGGGAGTTTAAATCCCCAAACAGAAAAGAAAACTCTTCCAAACTCTGGGCTGGAGCATGAAGTGTATCACAACACTCACATCCACTGGGATACATATCCGGAATGAGCACAAAAACATGAAAATCATAGCAAACCCTATTGAAATGAATGAGTTCTAGCAGAGGCATACTATAGAACTGTACTGGAGGATTCAAAGTGCATAGAGAGAGCACTACTCTATAATTACTACGTTCTCCTGAAAAGCTCTGTGGTTAACTTCATTCTAGAGCACCTAGAAAATGCACAACACCTTTTGAGCATTTCTACATTCTCCCTTGCAACTCTGTGCAACCTCTGATGAGCGCATATCATAGGATTGTATTGGAGGATATAGAGAATGTTTATAAACAACATACTGTTTTGGAGATGGCTAAGTAATCCTGGTCTGGTGGATATTAAGATTGTACTCTGTGTGTGTGTAGATTTGAGTCTCACCGCCCTGAGTCCCCCCCCCTCCCCCGGGGGGTGAGAAGGCCAGGGTATAAATATAGGAAATTAAATTTTAAATGAAATTAGGTGTGGGTGTAGGTGTGGGTGTGCATGTGTATGTGTACATACACACACACATTATGACCATTTTCTGTTGCTGAAGGCTTTCATAGCGGAATTACTGGGTCGCTGTGAGTTTTCTAGGCTGTCTGGCAATGTTCCAGAAGCATTCTCTCCTGACATTTCACCCACATCTAGAGGTTGTGAGGTCTGTTGGAAACTAGGCAAGTGGGATTTATATATCTGTGGAATGTCCAGGGTGGGGAGAAAGAACTCTTGTCTGTTTGAAGCAAGAGTAAATGTTGCAATTGGCCAGCATGATTAGCACTGAATGGCCTTGCAGCTTCAAAGCCTGGCTGCTTCCTGCCTGGTGGAATGCTTTGTTGGGGGTGTTAGCTGGCCCTGATTGTTTCCTGACTGAAATTCCTTGTTTCCTGAGTGTTGCTCTTTATTTACTAACCTGATTCTTCAGTTTTTTAAATACTGGTAGCCAGATTTTGTTCATTTTCATGGTTTTCTCCTTTTTGTTGAAATTGTCCACATGTTTGTGGATTTCAGTGGCGTCTATTTCAGTGGCTTCTGCCCTGAGTCCTCTTCAGGGTTGAGAAGGGTGATATACAAATACCGCAAATAAATAAAATAAAATAAAATATGTGCAGTCTGACATGGTAGCTGTCAGTGGTCCAGCGTTTCTCCTCAAATAATGAGGTTTTTTTGTGTGTTTTTTATTGCAGAGATGGAATTTTGTGACACTCCACACAACCTGTGCATTGGCTACCAGGGGGAGATGCATTCTGTGTCCCAGCATGGCTATCCAATTGAGATGGGTTCGGATGTGGACACCGAGACAGAAGGTGGGGCCTCCCCAGATCAGGCCTTGCGGATGTGGATGTCCGGGATGAAATCGGAGCACAGTTCCTGCTTGTCGAGTCGTGCCAACTCTGCCCTGTCCCTCACAGACACCGACCATGAAAGGAAGTCAGATGGAGAGAACGGTAATGAGGCAACTGGGGTAACTAATTGCAAGGGCAGCAGTTTTTTGAAGGCTTTCTTTTTCTATATGCAACCCATTGTTCAATAATAGCCAGGATTTGTGCCAGCGGGGATATGGATCTCCCATCCAAGACTGCATTCTCATTTCCTCTCCATGCAAACATTAACAACAACAGAGTCAGAGAAAATCATGTTTTTAGTAATGCAATAGCTGCATTATACAATAAATATATTACGAGTTCAGTATCCCGTATCCAAAATGCTCGGAACTAGCGAGTGTTGGGAGTTTTTCAGGTTTTGGAATACCCAAGTGTTAATTCATATATATTTCATAAACACTGTTTACACAAAGACTGAAGGTACTTGTATGCACAATATGTTTGCAAATTTTGTAAAGTTTGTGGATAATCAAGAGAAAGCAAATGTGCCATTTTCTCAGCTACCCACATGGATAGTTCTGGATTAATCATAATATACTTTATTTATTCTGCTCTTATCTCTCCGAGGGAACTCAGAGCAGATTACAGAATACATTTATGGCAAACATTCAATGTTGTTATGCAAATTAACAAAGACAAACAGTACATAGACAGAGGCAAAGCATCCCTCTTTTTTTTTTTTTTTTTTTCCATTTCCGGCATCTGGAGGCTGTGCTCGACTCGGCCACGGGGAGATGTTGTTGTTACATTTTTCCATGCTTGAGGATCCAGTTGCCCATGGACATCTTGCCAGCATGTCTTCAGGGGTGCCTTTTACCTCCCTGCGAAAGCAGTACCTATTTGTCTACTTGTATTATTGTTTTCAAAGTGCTAGGTAAGCAGAATCATAGAATCCTAGAGTTGGAAGAGACTTCATGGGCCATCCAGTCCAATCCCCTGCCAAGAAACAGAAAAATCACAATCAAAGCACACCCAACAGATGGCCATCCAGTCTCTGCTTAAAAGCCTCTGAAGAAAGAGCCTCCACCACACTCCAGGACAGAGAGTTCCACTGTTGAACAGCTCTCATAGTTAGGAAGTTCTTCCTAATGTTCAGGTGGAATCTCCTTTCTTGAAGTTTGAAGCCGTTGTTCTGCGTCCTGGTCTCCAGAGCAGCAGAAAATCAGAAAATAAGGGAGTAGGGTTTTGAAAATCCAGGTAAGGGATGCTCAACAAGTCCATGAGATGAAACTTACAGTTGTTTCCTCAATGCTGGTGTCTTCTGTGATCGCCTTGATCACAGCTTCAATATTGAACATTTCTGTTAGTCTTAAAAATACTGTAGCCCTTAATTCTGTTGGAAAAGCCATCTACAGAAAAGATATTGAGCAGGAAGAGGGCAAATGACACACTTTCTGTTGGGAACACACAAGTAATTATTTCATAGTTTAGTAGACTAAACATTGGACTATGTTTCTGGAGAATAAGGTTCATCCTTTCACAATGCCTTTCATTCCAGTATTTCCTTACTGGTCATGGCTCTGTGTGCCAAGTTTGATCCAATTCAATCTTTGGTGGACTTCTGATTGCAGGTGAACTATAAATCCCAGTACCTACAACTCCAAAATGTCCAGGCCAATTCCCCCTCAAAACTTACCACTATTCAAATTTGGGCATATCGGGTATGCATGCCAAGTTTGGTTCAAGTTTGGGTTCATAGTACTCTCTGGATGTAGGTGAACTGCAACTCCTATAAATCCCTCCAAAGACTTCCAGTTGACATGTAAGTTGACATCAGTTGACCTTGTTGAATGGGCAGATACATAGAGAATCATAACGTTGGAACAGTTCTTCAGAGACCATCCAGTTTAACCCCATTCTACCATGCAGAAAAAAGCACAATCCAAGCCCTCCCAACAGACAGCCATCCAGCCTCTGTTTACAAGCCTCCAGAGAAGGAGCCTGTATCAGAAGCAGCAGTGTGTTCAATGGTTCAACCGATCTTACAGAAGGAAACTGACCTTTAGGTATTCTTGTCGTAATCTATTTAGGATTTTCAAGATAGTATTGCTTTGAAGTGAGCCTGGAAATAGACCAGCAGGGATGAATATATCAAAATGCATTTTAGGAACAAGCTCAAACACGTCTGAAGCAGTGGGCAGCACAGCTGTGATTGTCTAATTGCATAATATAGTTTCTCTAGTTTCGTACCTAAACTATTCAGTTTAGTTTGCAATAACACTTATTGATTGATTTTTCGACAAGACAAGGAGAAAATGATACATAAATTATCTATAAACTAATACAAAAAGCCCTAGCTACATCTGGCATGTCAACACTAATCTGAACACAGAGGGTATTGTGGCTGACCAGGAAAAAACCCTTGTGATGTATGTCCTTTTCACAGTTCGACTTGAATATGTTCTGACAGAGGGGAGAGTTTGGGTCATATGTGAAGTTGGTAGTGTAATTTGAAATGTGTTCCATGGTCGTCCTTCCTTGTTCAAGGGCAATATCCCACAGATATTTAAAGTTACAAGAGAATTGAGCAAGACATATATAGATGTGGTTTGTGAGAGCAGTAAGCACTGCACATCCACAAGTTTCACTCTTTGGTTATTCAGGGATTTGACTATTTTCTCTCTAGGTTCTCTAGCATGACTCCATTGCCAACTTCTGCATTGGGGAACCTAGAGATTCTTAGAGGGAATACCTCTTAGGCATTTGTTGGTCATCCAGCTTGTTTCTATGGTGAACATCTGGCAGAATTTATTTTATTTATTTATTTACTGTATTTGTATACCGCCCTTCTCAGCCCTCAGGCGACTCAGGGCGGTTTACAATGGCAATGATTCGATGCCCCAAAACACCATAAAACATTTTAAAACATTAACACATAATATAAAACCATAACAAGAATATTAAAACATAGATCATTTGCGTCTCTTAATAAAAAACATTGTCCCATCTCATCATCCAGTCATTCCAATTCCTATGTCTTTTACCTTGCATTTTCAAATGCTTGCTCAAACAACCAAGTCTTGACTCTCTTTTGAAATGTTAAGAGGGAGGGGGCCGATCTAATGTCCCCAGGAAGGGCATTCTATAGCCGAAGGCCACCACTGAGAAGGCCTTGTCTCTTATACCCACCAGACGTGTTTGTGACACAGGCGGGATCGAGAGCAGGGCCTCCCCGGATGATCTTAAAGTCCTAGCAGGTCATAAGGGACTCAAAATTTGACCATTGAGGTTCATTGGAGGACTCAAAATTCATAGATAGGCATTTTCTCAGGTAAAACAATTTCACTTTCATGGGGGGGTCTGTTCGCCAAATCCCAGTGATTGTGGAGTGTTGACTGTTTTATTATAGAACTAGCTTGGGTACCCAGAATTGCCTGGCTTATTTGAAAAAGTCAATTTTTTTATTGTACAGAATGCATAAGGTTGTGGGTGGACTACAACTCACATCATGCCAGGTTAATCCCGAGAAACTCCATCCATACTTAAAGTTTGTTATGTTGGGCAAGATTGTTCTATATGCATCATCGGTAGGGTTCAGTGGGCTCTCTGGCTGTAGGGTAAACTACAACTCCCACTATGGTGAGTCAGTCCCCTCAAACTCCTCCAGTAGGTTGAGTTAGTCATGGGGGTTCTGTGTGCCAAGTTTGGTCCAGGTCCATCATCGGTAGAGTCACAGTTTCCCTTGTTGTAAGCAAACTATAACTCCCAGAAATGAAGATCAGTTCCCCCCAGACCCCATCAGTAATAATATTTCAGCATATGTGTGCCAAGTGTGGTCCAGATCCATCAGTATTTGGGTTGACAGTGCTCTCTGGATGTAGGTGAGCTACAACTCCCCCAAATTGTGGTGAATTTTCCCCAAAGACCTCCAGTATTTTTTTACTGGTCATGGGGGCTCTGTGTGCCAATTTTGGTTCAATTCCAACTTTGGTGGACTTCAGAGTGCTCATTGATTGCAGGTGAACTATAAATCCCAGTACCTACAACTCCAAAATGTCCAGGCCAATTCCCCTCAAAACCCACCAGTATTCAAATTTGGGCATATCAGGTATGCATGCCAAGTTTGGTCCAGATCCATCATTGTTTGGGTTCATAGTGCGCTCTGGATGTAGGTGAACTACAACTCCTCTAAATCCCTCCAGTTTGCTTTGTTGGTCATGGGGGATTCTGTGTGCCAAGTTAGTTCCAGGTCCATTGTTGGTAGAGTTCAGAGTGCTTAGATTGCAGGTGAACTATACATCCCAGTACCTACAACTCCTATAAATCATGGTGAATTCTCCCCAAACCTCTCAAGTATGTTCAGTTGTTGATCAATTCCTCTGTTCGCTGTGTGCAATATAAAAGAATAGGAAAGGGTTAAGGGGGAGGCAGTGGGCAGGGTCATGCAAATTTCACATCAGTGGAGAGAGTAAGAAACACTGGGATGTCTTTGGTGGAGGAAACAAATAAAATCTAGGATATAATTGTCACTGTATGAAAATCTTCACTTGGGTGGTGGACACTTGGGTGGTGGACACTATAGTGTTTGTGGACAACATTGGCAGGGCTCTTGGACATGTTCACAGCACTCTCTATAATCTACAATGTTGTTGGAGGGATGGCCATTGCTATCTCCTGAGTAGTGGAACCTATAGCTGTTTGTGGAGTCAGGAGCTTCTCTGTGTAAGTGGATATGCCAGCCACACACACACACACACACACATATTTTCCCTTTTATTCTGTGTATAGATAGATGAGCAAAAGTAACCCAAATGCTTGTATTCTTTTCACAATTTATGCGCAAGGCATTTTGAGTTGATAGCCTAGCTTTGCACCTGCTTGGCCACCAGTCAACAGGCAAGAAATTGATATAATTACCAGAATAATATTCTAAGTCAAGGAATGGAAGCCGAGGAAATGTGTTTATGCCTCAAGGGAAAAGCGTATTTCTTTATCTTGGAAATGGGACAGGCTTTTGAGGAACCAAACAGAGACATCAGAAAATGCATTGCGGGGGCATTTCTACACATCCCCGGACCAAAGATTATGGAACAATGAGCATCGGTTGCTGGAAAACGTTTGGT